TTGTAGCTATGGGTGAAAATTAAACATAATCAAATCCAACCATCCGGCTAGAGGCTGAATGCTCATCAGAATTTCACTGCACATAATATTTTTTTTATTATTCTTATTTTAAAAAGCGCAATAACCTTATGCCCTCAAAACAACTCTTGCGTGAGAAAAGTGGCCACATACCAGAAAATTCTCCCTGACAATTGCCACTGATGTGATCATTTATCTGTGACCCGCAAAATCCACAATTTGCACACAACTGCAGGCCTGCGTTTTATTTTAATGTTTTTTTTTTTTCTTCTTCTGCATGTGTCACTTCTTACCTAAGAGCAGGAGAGAGACGCAAACGCACATCCACACTGTGACAGACTTCATGTTCAGGCAAGAAAGATGAGTTGGGGTCCGATTAGACTAATATTTCCACCTTTTTAAATTTTTTAAAAGATTAATTCCTCTCTCCGGATCCTTGACCCAGGCTAACTGTGAAAAAAAGAAGCAATATCCTCATTCAAATCCAAAATAAACACATTCGAGACCAAAGAGAAAAAAGAAAAAAGAAAAAAAGAGAAAATCCTCGACTCCCAACAAGATAATAATCCACAATTTTTCTTTTTGGAATAATACACTAAAGCACGACGCAGAGAAAAAATAAAAAAATAATAAAAAAAATCCTCTGATACTGGAGGGGGAAAAAAAACAATCAAAATCAAATGCCAATCAACCAATCAATCAGTCAGTCAATCCATGAAAGCAGTTTCTCAGGGTCCGTCTGCGCTGCGTTCATACCGACAAACTCCTGAGACTTGATCTCTCCGCATTCTAAAAGGGCTCAGACTGGCCGCTCCAAATGCCCCCTTTGGAGATAATTTGTCCCTGAAAACAGTCCTTAAACTGGCGCAAAACGATCTGTCAGCTCTCCCAATATCTCTAACGAGGTAGAAGAACTCATCTGAAAGTGCTCCAGAGCGCTGACTGGATTTTTTCTCTCTCTCTCTCTCTCTCTCTCTTCCCACCACTGTGCTCCCCTTCAAACCAAAAAAAAAAAAAGCTGTGCGCTCCTCTGGAGGGGAGTGAACGCTCCTTTTTCACTGACTGCATGCGTGTCGAGGCATCACAGCACTTTTATAAAGAAGGAGCTCCTGCGGGCCGGCAGAGGGCGCCCTGGGGCGGTGGGTGGGTGGGTGTTCTCATTGGAAAGCGCGGCACACTGTCAACACAGAGGTCCAATAATAAATATTACCCTACAGGAAAAAAATCACCGCGATATTCTTGTAATTTTCCTGCTGGGAGGAGATGCACCTGTGGTCCTCAGTATGTGGAATTATAGTGACCTCGGTTGGCCTGTGTGGTGTGGCTTTGATTTCCTGTGGTGGTGCTTGCTATAGGATTTTCTATGAAAGCCCATACATTTTGTGAAAAAAAAAAATGACTTCAGTGATTCATAATATCCTTCTTGGCTGATTACTATCTCCTTCATGGGGGAGTCTTTACGGTTCTGCTCAGTATTCAGCTGTAGGAGGGAGAGAGGATGCAACCGCAACAGATCAAGGAAGGAATTAGGGTAGTGTATTGGATACTTGCACTCGTGGCAGGAGCATCCAGTCAGCCAACACAGAGAATCTTTTATTCAAGACTCGAGCAAGGTCACCATCCAATTCATTTTTTTTGGCTGACATCAGGGTTTCATTCCCACAACCCATAGACTATTTGCAAATGATTCTTAGGGATAGGGTTCAAAGGTGGACTCAACAATGATGATGAAAATGTCACCATTCATTTCAGCAATATCCCAACACTTCACATAACATCTGTGTTTCCTCCTATCTGGAAAAAAAAAAAAGATTCTTTTTAGAAAAAAAAAAAATGCGCACAATGTCTCGTATTATATTTATGCTCTGAGGAAATAGCTTAGCCTGCAACCCGCAGAATCTGCCATTTTTCAAAGTGGCTTCACATTAAACAAAATGACTTTGTTGTGCATCATCGCTTAAATAGTGCCCAGAATGTCATAAATCTTTGCAAATCTTGAAAACAAAGTCTCTATTTAGAAGCTGTGACAGTGACAAACTGCAAGGCCACTGGCTCATAATGATGTTTGACTGTCAGCCCAGGCTTCCATCCAAGAGGGAAAACAGCTCGCCCCTATAATGGCAACATCAGCCTCATTCTGCCTATATTGGCCCGGGCTTATTCTCGTCTCTCGAGTTTGAAGTTGCTGTCATTATGAGGACACTGTAAAGTATCATCCACCGTCGTGAATACCCTGCAACTGTGCCGAATTAGTGCTGCAGTGGCTGCTTTGGTACATCCTTCACGTGTTTTTAGGCAGAAGTGGATATTTCAATGCAAAAAAAAACAAAAAACTGCAACCTTTTGCCTTTCAAGCATCTATTTCAAATACCAGAACAATTTTAATCTTTTATTTTAGCAGAGAACAAAGAGCCGTTGGAGTAATTTCTCACTGAAGATTAGTAAACTGTATGAAGTTAACAGTTGCTTGAGCAGTGGGCTCGGAAGGAAGGAGACATTTCTAATAACACAAAAAGCCATGAAATCAAGAGAAACATTAGCTGCAAACACAGTGAATAAAACAGTCTAAATTTGCATTGTAAATTCTTATTGAGGCATCCCATTATGTCTATGCATGAATGTGCAATATGGATAAATCCTCTCCTCACAATTTTTTTTTTTTTCTTGTCAGGTCCGGGGTTGGATTTTATTCTTGTTGACATTGCACAATTCACCCCCTCCATGGGTATTTAATTGCTCCATTCTGACTTCATAAAGCATCTGCAGTTTTTTCACGTGTACAATTAGAGGCAGCCCACAGAGAAGCACATGCGCTCACATGGCTCTGTACTTGTACACCTTTTCATAAATAAGCATATACTTACAGTATGCATGCCGGAAGAAGAGCACGCCAACGGACGCACGCAGAGATGCACATAATCCATATGTCAGATAACTCTGCTCCCACAAGATGGCTCAAGACCGTGAAGATGGGAAATGACAAATCTGGATATAGAAGTCATTGTTCTCACTATTGAGGGAAATCATTCTGTGCCTCTGAGAAGTGTGTCTAATATGGTGAATATAGATGATATCATTATGAATTCATGGGATATGAAATAATGATACAGATAACAGTCAAAGTTAAGACACTGTGCAATAACTTGTGCTTAGCGAGACAGCAGGGGGGTTTGAGAGTGAGCTCATGCTTACTCTCTTGGGTCAAATAAGAGCTTAGACAGTCTGAAACTGTCACCTTGAAGGCAGGACAGATAAACTTGCATACAAATGTGCATGCAGGTGTATTTGTGTCACAGTGTGCGCTTTCGTGATGGTTGTGGGTGTCGTTCAAGCCGGACCCAGGTGACTACAGCACTTTAAAGTGTTAACTATCTACAACAACACCTTGAATGCACCATTGATCCTCATGCTTAATGTCTCGTCCGATCATGGTTCAAATTAAAACCGCGTTGGGGCAACACTGATAAGGATTTGCATCGGCACCGTTAAAACCAAATTTTTGCGATTTATTTGAGGCCAAAGGTCACTGTATCTCTCCCTGCTGGTCAGGCCTACTGGAGGGAGCACTAATGAACCCAGGCATACGGTGCGCACACACGGGCACACACAGACACACACGCGAGCACTCGTGGAGGTTAAGCATGACTGATTAGATTAGGAATTATGGGCTAATTAATGTGTATCTTGGGAGACCTGTGCAGCATGCTTATTAGGAGACACAGCCGGAGTTAGGCAGAGAACATGACAAAAACATAAGTGTTGTTAATTCCCAGTATTAAATTAATTTAAACAGTACACTAAAGCTCTATTCCTTCTTGTTTTATTCACTTCAGTGTAATGAGAGGAACTAAAGATGAAACCTCTGCCTGTGTGTACTGTACAGTCATAAATTATTTAAAGTTGGGACTTGCTATTGCAAAATATCTTCTCCACTAATACGCTTGACTAAGAGTCAGTTTTTAAACATAAAAAAGGCACAAAGTGTGCACATATATATATATATATATATATATGGATCGTGGTACAACCTCTCAGCTTTCACGACAAGTGCCTGTATCAGGTGCTGTGGGCGAAGTCATTTCAAATCAGTCCATTCAAATCAATGCAGGAGGTAAAATGGCCAATGAAATTAGCATCAGGGAAGTCGATTGTGGAGATGGTGGAGTGACACATTATGGGCAGGGCCTGTGTTTCTTATTCTGCTCTTTCTGTTGTGCTCACAGCTCAGTGCAGTAAAACAACAAGCGAGGTCCTAAACGTCGGTGTTTATGTACATGACAACTTTGTTTTGGGTTGTTTTGAACGGACAACACAAAATTTTGATGTGACCTCCACTAGACTCTCTGGAGGCTATCGACCAGTTGGATCCATTTGTTTTCCAGACATTTCAGACGTTGTCCATTTCTATCACATTACTTTGACAGAAATTGAATTTCCTCTGATGCATTTTTATGTATCCTAAGTGCTGTTCTGTTCTCCTCGGGAGTATAGTGTTTCCAGTGGTATGATGATGCAAAAACACTTTGCGTTTAACAGAAAAAGGGCAAACATATTTTATTTTAATGTGTGTATTGATTTTAATGTACTTTTTTGGAATGCTTTCCACCTAAAATATTAGTCCTTACCATCTGTATGGTGCTCTGGCTGTTGTCTAAAGGGGTATTTCAAATTCTTACAAGAACACATAAGAACACATAGAGGACAAACTTTATCAGCGTGCTGATGCCACGCTGGGCTTTCTGTCTTGTTAGTCTCCAAAAGAAAGCCATCTTTCTAACTGTAATGGCAGCACACAGTGAGGACACGCACCTATTACTATCAAGGAGGCAAAAACAAATAGCATGAGTCTGCAGTTTTTTACCTGCTCTTATTTCTTTTCTTCTGCTTTTTACAGCTCAGGCGTTTTACAGGCAATGACATCAGCAGAGACATTCTACTCTGTGTATAAAGCGACTGGTTGTTGGTTCAATTTCAGCAATTTGCCACACGGCTGCAAACAGTGTTGCACCTAGCCCATCTGGTTGAACACGCCGTGGGTCCCGTATGGGATATTGACAGGCACCTCTGCTCTGCCCAGCTCGGTGAAGGTCTTGGCATCCAGAACGAGCAGGAAAGTACTTTTCTCCTGGAAACAGACACAGAGCAGATTAAATATGTTATGTAAAGGAAAAGGTCATAGAACACCTTTCTCGCAGTAATGATAGAGCAAGTACAGAACCATTTATCTTCCCCATGCATGGTCAAATAAATAAATAAATAATAATAATCTGTCTGTTGTTATGTATCATTTTCCTTCTCACAGTACACAGGTATGACGTCAGTGTCACCCAAAATAATGTTACTGTTAGAATTAATTATCACTGCATTCCTGTCTATGTGTAGTTAAATTACCTCTCTGGGTGTGATGATGACTGACAAGACCACTCCATCATCTTCCTCGGTAGCTTTGGGCGAAGCAACAAAGACAGGCTCAGACGGGAACAAGCCAGGATAACGCCACACCTAGACAGGGGGGGATTACATAAACATACCCCTTTTTACTTTGAGCTGTTTCATGTTAAGAAAAACCAACTCAAAACCCTCCGCTGCCCTTTCAACAATAGTGAAACAGAAGTAGAAACAACTTTGATGTGCTAATACCCAGTCCAGTTAACAATGAGGTCTCTCTAAGTAGTCTTTGATTGATAGAGAACCTTAAGCTCCTTGGTGTGGACATCCATCTTGAGCAGGGAGTCGCTAAAGACGTGTCCAAAGCCACAGGCGTAGAAGTAGCGGTAAGGTCTGCCGTTGTGCTGGTCATAATTGATCTGAGGGAACTCGAGGCCGCCGTACTGCAGCAGCTCATCGTCGTGAAGCTCCTCGTGGGTCATGTAAACCTGTAAGGTCAGGATTGTACTCTGATTAGTGAAACTTTGAGATTTCAGCCTAAAGTTGAGGCACAGCAGCAGCAGCCCTGATTTGCTTTACACCTGTGAGTGCTAGAAATCAATACTGCATTATTCTCTATAATAGGTCATTGAACACCTGGGCATTTGTTAGTTAAGAATGAATCAATTCCTTTTAATTTTACTCAAAAAATATGTACCTTCAATTGCAATAACCAACCTATATTTTTCTATTTGTTTCCAGTGAGTGTGGTAGGCAGCAGCACTTTCACAGCTGCCTTTCAGTTGTTCCATGTACATAACACCACTCTCACTGAGAACTAAGACTGAGGACAGTGTCACTTAGGTAGTCATGACAACTAAAACATCACTTTTCTTTCGACATTTCAGCTTTTTTCTGCTGTAAGAAAACGGCGAACTGTGTGTGTGTGTGTGTGTGTGTGTGGGCCACACACACAAGCAGTTAAACTGCAATTGTTCGGCTGCATGGTGGACATCATTTCTATCTGCCATAAGTCATAAAATTACTGTCTTGCAGAAAGTAACTTAAGCATCTCATCATGCTGGATAATTGCACAGAGTGTGTGGGAGGGAATTGGCTGTATTCATCATGATTATAGGTCTTATTCTTTGCCCCATACAACCAATAATGTGCAGTTAAACATTTAACTTTATAAATGCAGTGACCATACTGCACTCTGCATACAGTTTAATCTTACCTCTCCAGGCTTTGTCATCTTCGCTGTGGCTTTATAGTTAGGCAGAGTGACAAGGTTTTGGTCCAAAGGAGTTTCTTCATCCACTTTGAGAGGTAGGACATATCTCCTTGGGAGGTTTCTGCACATTGAGTTGTAGAACTGCCAAAAGAAATTAGACAGGACTGAGAAACTGTAAATGTGGCTCCTTGGAATAAACGGTGCGATGCAACCTCAGGAACAATCAGACCCAAACAGATACAACACACTGATGCAAAATCACCTTTTTCGCGTTGATTAAACTTTGTTTTGATTAAAGCAATGTACTCCACCACATCTGAAATCACAGAGATTTTAGAGGCCTATTGCGTCAGAAGCTGACGCATACAAATAAAAGAAAAATGAATCTCTAACACAATTAATCAATGCACACCTAACATACAGACAAAACCACCCCAAGTCCTTGCTGACTCATATCTTATATTTTGAGAAGGATCGAAGGGTTGTAACATTATAAATGCATTCCAGCATACTGTCTGAACAATGATGCAAACAGAAACACCATTACAAGAAAAATACTTTTGTTGTAAGAAACTAAATGCATCTACCTTGTCCATTTCCTCTCCTGCGTCTCTTCGCAGGTTTTCCAAGGTGAAGTCCGCGATGACCTCACCATCATCCCCACAGCACATGTCCATAACCAAGAACCCATTGTCCTCAAAAGCATTGATCTGATGCAGCGTGAACATGGGTGCTGTGTGGTACTTCACTTCGCTCCTCTGTTGGAACCGACGCATCATATAATGAGAACTCAGACTCATGAAATATCAGGAAAATAATACTGGTTTACAAAAGCTGTTAGTCACATAAGAAGGAGCTGGTGTGATGTTTTTAACATTTGAAAACGAGCTCTCTCTTTGGCACAGCTGCTATTGTGTTGCACCTTAACATTTTGAAAGTTTGTTATTGTGTGCTTAATGGGTGTGCTGTGTAATGAGATGAAAAAAATTGAGAGTAACAATGTATGAGGAGAGGCTACACCATCAGAGTGTGACTTCATCAAAATAAATAAGGAAAAAATGTCATCATGCATGAAGAGGTTTTCCTTTTGTTCTGACTATCCAGCAGCTGTGTGTATGTTTTCTACATCACGCTTTATGTAAAAAGGAAACAATGTGTGCAGTCAACTAATTCTACTGCACCTCTCCAGTGTGCCTGTTGACCAGGTGGAAGATGGTTTCACACTGAGGATCCCAGGACATGATTTTGTGAAAGCTCTTTCCCGCTATTCTGAACAGCATGAACTTCAGCAGGTCCAGCTTGATCGGCTGCTCAACAAACACAATATAGTTCTCTGACATGACTGGAGAGGGGAGGGCACACACACAAAGAAATGCATGCGTTAAAAGAAACACATGACTGGCAGATCTTAATCATCAGATTTTCATCATTGCTCCTTATAGATTATAAATAACGTTTTCAAGCTTGTATACTATATCTGCGGTGGCGCGGTGGGATGATGAATTTCAACGCGGCTACAGACAGACTGTAACTCATCAGTGCAATGCTGATTCTATACTTTCACGACAGAGTTTAATGTTTGATGAAATTCCCCTCTCATAAGGCTCATAAATGTTTTCATAAACATACATAAAAGAGGTCCTAGCAAATTATTGCGAGGCCAAGTGACCTGTCAACAAGATTTCAGTGGTGACTTATGTTTCTGTATGTCAACAGAAAATGAGTTTCTAAGCGTCTGTATTTAATTGGACCAGTAATGGAGTAGTAAAACGTCAATGATAATATGTCACTCATTTTGCAGAAGGTTACATACATTAAGGATTAACCTTCTCTTACACTTTTGGGGGAAAACAAATATTGTTCTCGCACATAAACATGTAAAATTGACTCTAAACATAACTTCCTATCTAACTCAGCTGGGAGATGTAATATGTGGAGCCTTGTAAAACTGTACAATATTCCCCCCACTTGTGGGATTTGTTGGTGCCCCAAAGTCTGGCAGGGTGGTCTGGACAAGGGTGGTCTGCCGGATATATAGACTGAGATATAATCAGGAAATTAGGGCGGTACAAAAACCGAATGGAGTTGCATTGTGTTAGATCAGCTAAAGAATGGAGTCACTTTTGCACTGGCTAACTGGAATCGGCACAATGCTTGATTATCAATGGCTTCTTCATCAACTGCTTGGCTATCAGCTGTCTAGTAATCGTAGTCTGTGCCCTTGTGTGACTCTTTGACATTTTGCTCTTGCCATACAGTCATGCCAGTTCAGGTTCCTTCACCACTCCTTCATGTTATGTGCTAATCTTTTGATAGTGTTGACATTACAGAGATCCAACCTTCATGTAAATGTTAATTAGGGGAATAAAAAGTCTTGTTCCTGCTGGGATTGTCTGAGAACTCCCTCGAGGAGCAGAGCCTGTCACACCAAACCTAACTGTCTGTTAATGATCATAAAAATCTGGACTGAATTACAAATATATCCAAGCGAAAAACTGAATTACAACCAGACCACAAAACATGAAAACACTAACACGCAAACTATGTGTATCTTTGCAACAGTGCTCTCAGAGTTAAGCTGGGGGAGAAACTACAGTAAAAAGTTAATAGTCCATTTTTCAAACAGATTTCATGCATTTTCTCTTTTTTTTTTATGAGAGACACAGCGTACAAGTGAAAAGTGTGTAATTTTGTGTGAGTTGGAAGCAGTGCTATAGACAGAGAGAGATAGCGAAAGCTGAACAGAAACAAAGGAACTGTGATTGACAATAAGGAGCAGAACAAGACGAGAATTCAAATGAGTAATTAATAAGAGCAGGGAAAAAAAAAAAAAGTTTCAGTGAAGTAGACTCACCGTGTCGGTGCAGGCACAAAGCAGAATCTCTCACAGAATTCATTAAATTCACTTCAGTATACATCCAGCATGCAGACAACCTAAAGACAGCGTAAGACTGTTTGTTATGCTGTAGCGTGTATCTCACCAAAGCTGTGATAATAGGAAGGTTTCCTGGACTCCGATGCTTGAATGGAGCAGACCACTTGGGCTCCAGTAAGGTCTGCTGAGTCCTCCTTTGCGGCCTTTTCCCCAGGAGGAGGCACACGGATGATGTTGTAGAAAAAACCTAGATGACATAACACATTGTAATGTTATGTATTCATCACACATATATAAGGCAAGTAAACTCAGCATTCTTTACAATAAATTGCGTACAACAACAAGTAACAAGGTCAGACGATTATAAGACAATGAATTACAAGAGAATGCAAACATGCACAGATAAACAGACACAAACTTGTACCAGAGGAAATACAAACTTGAATAGGGTTTTTATTTTGTCCACTTATCTATCCATACAGCAACTGTAAATAGTATTCACCCCCTTGGAACTTTTATTTTATTGTTTTTCAACATTGAATCATGGTCAATTTAATTAGCCTTTTTTTTTATTTTTACAAAAAAATATAAATAAATAATAATAATAAAAAAGGACTGTGGCTATAACTACACAATGAAGGCAAAAGAACACTCTAAGCTACTCTGTGAAAACATTATTAAATGCAGGAGACAGATACTAGAAAATTCCCAAGTCACTGAATATCTCTTAGAGTACAGTTAAATCCTTCATTAAGGAATGGAAAGAATATAGCACATGCATAAATCTGCCTGGAGCAGGCCGTCCTCAAAAACTGAGTGACTGTGCAAGAAAGAGACTAGCGAGGGAGGCTACCAAAACAGCTACAACTCCTCTGAAGGAGTTGCAAGCTTCAGTGGCTGAGATGGGAGACACTGTACACACAACAACTGTTTCCTGTTCTTCCCCAGACAGAGCTTTATACGAGAGTCACAAAGCGAAAGTTGAAACGATTCATCTTAAACCTCGACAAGTTATGTAGGAGACTCTGCTGTGGAGTGGAAGAAGGTTCTTTGGTTTGATGACACCAAAATTGGGCTTTATGGCCACCAGACTAGACGCTATGTTTGCTGGACACTGACAGACATAATCACAAACACAACATCTTAACCATGATGCATGGTGGGGGGCAGCATCGTGATGTGAGAATGCTTTTCAGCCTGGATGGCTTGTAAACGTAGACACGACAATAATATGGAGCATGCAGCCAAAGCTGAACAGAATGGTTAAAGCATCATGGAAAACAAATGTTCTGGGGTAGCTAAGTCAGAGCCCAGACCTCATCCTAACTAAGAATTTGTGGCTGGAATTGAAAAGATCTCAAGGGCATGATCCCCATTCAGTCTGACAGTTTTGAAAAGAAGAATGGGGTAAAATTACAGGGTCCGGTACTGTAATTAATTGATCATTAATTGGCAATACTATGCAGAAATAAGCTTTAACAAGAAAGTCTTGACATCTGTGGATGCTTTTTATAGGCATCGCACAGGTAGGAGAGTGAACATAGTGCATAGTATGACACAAAGAGTGAAGAACAGTTACCACTTCTGCCATAGGAATTGCCCATGTTGTATGTGGCTCCTTCACGGTCATAGTGCGGGTGAGCTGTAGCTGCATTGACAGCAATATACTGACTCCAGTCCACCTTTAATTGATAGAAAAAAAACATCATCTTAATCATTGTTGATGCTATTTTCATCTTCCACACCTTAGTCCCTCATCGTGAACCTCTGACTCTTTACAAGCATTCAAAAGAGGCCTTTTTATAACAACCTTACTGACTCACCTTCTCCTTCGTCTCCAGGCTTTGTGGATCTACTCTCCTCATGTAGTTGGTTTCTGTGCTGACATAATAGTCTCCCTTGTACTTGACAAAGTTCACACTGGCGTTATCTGTGGCCTCTGTTCACACATATGGGTGTCAGGAACATATAGTATTTCAGAAAAAAACTCCTCTTTTTCACAGATATCACAAGAAACAATCAATTCCCTCCTCCTTAATTTTTCAGAAACTTGATGTCGTGCTTTCGATTAGCTTACCGTTACAGTAAACACACGCAGATCCACGCACAAAAATATTGACTTGTGTTCCTTTTACCTCAGTAAAAACATAATGTAATGTAACTCTACCTTTCATTAGTCTGCAAAAGCATTTCACAATACTCCACATACAGTCAAGGTCGTGAGCACAGAAGAAGAAATGTACACATATACTTTTTTCTCTGACTATTTGTTTGACTTTAACTTCCCCACTGGTAATCTTGCACAGCTGCTTTGTCACCTATATGCATAAATAAATGGTTTAATAATGCATTTGGTACTGCTGCTGCTACATTATGCTGCACTGAAGTATATTGCACAGGGGAATATGCAATGTGTAAAGACGACACACATACCAGGGATCGTAAAGCGTGAAAAGAATCGTGCAAAGATGTTCTTGCAGGGATCTGGCATGGCTAGTGTACCGAACTCTGAAACCACAATGCGGTTCTTCTCTGAATTGCGGACATATGAGTCACTTCTAAGGAAGCGGCTGTTGTAAGTGACATTGCCCTCACAGATGTGGAACCGGTGCATCATGGCCATGCCGTCAAACCAGTGGGTGTACCTGAGAGAGGAAAAGGCAATTAGTTTCTCATCGGGTATTTGCGCAAGAAAATAGAGGGAGCTCTGTTATTTGGGGAATTGGTCTCTTGTTAAACAAACACAGAGAAGGAAAAACCCTCATTTCTATCTGCAGGGATTAAATCTCAGTAAACCTATGCAACGTACAAAATGTTTTTTTCATAGTGTGCCTAAAATACCTATCTTCCCCAAATTCAAATTTCCCTGGGCCATTTCTCAGGAAGCTCCCATTGATCCAGGTTGGTATAGTGCCCTTGATGGTGGTGGGGATGGGGTCAGAGGTTTCCTCCGCCGTAGATACCAGAGGGGCCACGCTCTCCAGCCCTCTGGCTTGCGGACATCGCTGCCTGCTGGGTACTGAGGACAAGACAGGAGAGGAGGTTTTCTGAAAAGCGGCATTTTGACTAGCATGCACTGTAAACTCTATGAAGATAACGCAGAGAAGAAAGCATAAAGTTTAATGTGAGCAGAAACTGAACTTTTGGCCCCACAACCCCACCTCTTTCCAATCAATTCTTTCTTTTTCTCGCTTTGTGTTTTATGCACACACAAAGGTATGAAATGACTGTGTTGCTGTGAACCATTTATAGCTTTTGAACTTTGAAAAAGTGCGAACGAGGAAGTGATGTAGGAGCCAACGCACAAACTATGTGTTAACAATAAATTATCCTCCGCGAGTGTGATTAATTAACAAACTGGAGCTTTGGGGACTTCATAAGATTTCTAAATGTTGTGATAATTGTTTAATAAACAGCTATGTGTCCTTTTTTTTTTTTTTGCTGAAATCAAACATTAAAATCCTCTACCCAATTAAAGACGGCTTTGTGATATACAAAAACGCTTCCTTAATGCCATATCTTGTTGGCAGGAGATAGCTTGTACTGTAACAGCTCCTGCTAGTGTGAACTCATGGCTCTCCGGGGTCATGCACTATGAATGACATCTACACTATCCGCTGTCTTATCTGTTATTCAATAACCAATTCCTGTTCATTACCCCATATCTCTGCGAGCCTGTAAAAAATATATGAGAGTTACGTGATTAGCAAAAGCAAATCGTTGAGGTTCAATACGGAGCCCCATGCTGAGCTTTGGTTACAATATCAGAGTTTTTCTGACTATGTGAATTGTTATTGCATCCAATCAGCAGAGCTAGAATTTCGTTCATTCCCATGACACAAGTACAACAGACAATAAAAATGGGAATGTGCAATACAGAGATAACCACTGTAGGCTTTAGCAATCTTTTGCAATGTTGACTTTGTGAGTTTTGAATGTGATTACTGCAGCATTGCAAATGACGCCTGAATGTGCGCTGTCATTTTTAGGGGTGTATTTTCTGTAGTTTCCTACTGCTTCTTTCCGAAATTGAGTCTCTTGAAAACAAAGCAGCAACACTGACGAGCCCAGAACTGTTGTGGATAATAGCCTCAGGTATTGCTTTTTCTTATATTTCATTTTTGGGATAATCACAATTGCAACAGTAGTTTATTTGTAACCGCTCTGTCTTTAATGAACTGTTTTCCTTGTGGCACGAACTCTATGTCAGTATACAAGTAAATGACCTCGCTGGAATTTGCTGTCGTAATCCTGCACATCTTTTTTAATTTCTTTTCTTTTTATTTTCACTGTGAAGGAACCTTTCAGCTATTCTTTTAGTTAACAGCTGAAAATGACTAAAAGCTATGCAATGTGCATATTCTTTTACCAGCGCTAATTCAGCAGGAGTCCTTGGAGCAGGAACAATAGAAAATGCCAACATGTCTTATTATAACTGCAGCTCTGACTTTGAAATGCAGCAAAATACCATTATGACCGGCTGAAGAAACTACATTATCTAAACGCACACCTGTACGCATGTTTTGTGTGGAACTGTGTAGATGGGTTTTCGACTTGATGCTATGGAATTCTCTTTTTTCAAACGGGATACACCAACACACAATAGTGCCTCCATACCTCTAGACTTTAATTTCACTTGAGATTTTGATTCAGTTAGTCATGCCCTTTCCCCAAAGTCAAAGGTAATAAAAGCAGCCTCTTGTAAAGATTCTTGAGGTTTAGTGGTTATGTAGAAACAGGAGTGTCGAATCAAGTCACCGCTTCAACTCAAAGAAAATGCACATTTTAGAATAATGAAATAATGTAAAATGGCAGGACGAGGACAAGGAATGCCTCTTTTTTAAGACTACAATAGGCCTCATTCACATAATCGATGTGCTAGAATAAAAATCTAATATTTGAAGGAGGTGTCTACGTACCGCTGCGTGTCTGCTCCTCTGTGCCCTCAGACATGGCGAGTTATTCCATGGATTTCGTCAGAGCAACACAGAGGATTTATGCAGGCAATGAGAAAGACCTTTGAACCTTGGAGTGCTAAAAGCCTTCTCAGCACTCTGCAAACTGTACAAGGTGTGTCAGAAAAGCTCCAGGACTGGTGCCACAAAATATATATTTGAAGAGTTCATTTGCAAAAACAGATAACTCCATTTTTGTAGATTTTCAGTAAACTTTTTTTTTGTTATTGTTTGTTTGAGATAATATAAATCAAACTAAAGCTGAGTGGATTTGACTCAGTAGAAATGACATGACAAAAATAGAGATAACTTGAGTTTGATTGATATTGTCTCAGGTAGATGATGGAAAAGTGGGTTTTCTGAAGGTTTGTGAAGATGGACTGTTTTTGCAAACCCAACCGAGGAGTTTTCCCCTTCAGACGATCAACCAGTATGTCAACAAAGAGATCCTGCTGCGTTTGCGCAAGAAGAGGCCAGAGTTGTGGCAGGACAAGCTGTGGCTACTTCACCATGACGCCTGCTCACAATGCCCTGAGCATCCTGCAGTTCCTGGCTAAGAAGAACATCGCCGTGCTCGAGCAACCTCCCTACTCACCCCACCTGGCTCCGTGGGACTTTTTCCTCTTCCCCAAGCTCAAGGGGGTCATCAAGGGGACTTGTTTTGAAGACGTGGACAACATCAAGATGGCTGTGACAACAGAGCTGCAGAGGATCCCTGAAGAATCCTTCCAGGAGTGCATGGCGCTGTGGCAGAAAAGGCTGGGAAAGTGCGTCATCAAACTGTTGACAAGAAAAGTGACAAGAAAGACAGTGGTCATTACTTCACAATGCAGGTCATTACTTTCATAGTGGGACATTTTACTGTGGATTTATTAGATTTAGCAAACAAAATAAAAAGAAAAAAGAAGGGAAAAAAGGGGAAAAAATGTGTTTGTCTGTTATTGAAGAAAATTAAATAATGTTAGACCCATATCTGAAACTATACGCTCCAAGTTATTCTATTAATTTTAGTTAATGGCTCTAATTGTGCTCCCCTTTGTTGGCTATTGTTGTATACTGTATGCGCACTGTATAAATTTCTGCCCCTGCAAATGAACTTATGCAGAACAAGCCCACATATTTGTGCGCATTTGCTGCTTTTATCTAATCTCGGCATACACTGTCCTGCTTTTGCAGTTTGAATGTGGCAGAGTGTTAACAGGGTTCAAATTACATAAAATACGTGTAATTACTGTAAATGTCACAACATGTAGCACTGAGTTAAACTGATCCATTAGCTTCGGCCCCGTGCGGCCTCAAAATACTTCATTTTAGGTGGAGTGATGAAAGTTGAGTTTGCAATAAACTGCTGTTAAAATATGTGTAGAAAAAGACAAAAGTAATGAGGAATTTTAATGACAGGGTGCTAATTGGACACGCAAGATTCTGTCCACGTGTCTAATTCTGATAATGCATCTATTTTCAAGTTTCATGAAAGAAGAAACAGACCTTGTTGGTCTGAAACAGTTGTGGTGTTTCCAAAAGCAATTTAGTATGACTAACAATACAGATCTGTGTGCAGAACAGGTTTTAATTCAAAAGACACGATGTTAGATTGTTATAAAATGTCACAAAATGTAAACAACGAACATAACAACATAAAAACTAGCCTAAAAATAACATCTCAAAGCTCTATAAAGTGTTTAAAAGTGTCAGTTTGGTAGGATGAGCTAAAACGTAGAAACAAAGATTTAAATTTATTTATTTTTTTGCTGATGCATTCTTGAGTTTGTTTACCTTTAATCCATTTGTCACAGATACTAAAAGGTATCTGCAAGTAAAAACAGAAACACTGTGTGACTGTAAACTTTTGGCACATGAACAAACCAGACACAAATGCCAAATTAGATAAATAACATACTCAAGCAGTACATAGTTGTTAGCACATTATACCACTGCATGTGGTGAGAAGGACCGCGCCCAGTCCCACTACTCCCCTGCTACTCTCCCCTACTGAACATGAAAGAAAGAGGAAAACTGGCAAGTATGTACAAGACCAGTTGGGTCATGATGTGCTTGTGAGATTTAATTAAATTAGTAGTTCCCAACCTGGGAGTTCTCAGGCATGAGAAGCGATGAATTAAAACTGCAGTAAACAAAAGCATCAAAATGAAATAAACATATGCGGCAACAATCGAAGAGTAAAAGCAAGGAGGGCCTTCTGTTAACATCAGTTGGAACAATAAAAGCAAATCAGCAGCAGACAGCCGATGGATTTACTTCAGCCCTCTGGTTCAAAACACACTGCCTGTGGCAAATGAGGCAGCCACTGGAAAATACAGCTGTATATTTTTTAAAGGCAAAAGCTTAACAATATGGACATTAGTGGGCTCAGAATGGGGTAAACATTACACTATTGCTACAAACCAAAAGTTCCACCCCCCTGTGCATAGGCATATTGCGTACCAGTGGCGGAGGTATGCGGGGGAAATGAACCGCACAGCTGGCTGCAGCCAATAGCACAGACGTAGCACAATAATATTTATACATTATTGCAAAATCTGTCTCCTTTCTGCTCCACGTGGAAAATGGCAATGGCCGGTGTAGTGTTTACTGGCCCAACATGATATAAACCGTCCATAAACCCCTCAAACAGTGTCATTCAGAGTTCAGCTGCTGTTCTGATAGGGAAAACAGTCTGAAGCATACCTGTTACAAACCCCCGGGGGAGTTTCACTAGATGAGGTGTTCTGCTTTGCTCAGCCGTAAAACTAGTAAGCCTCATCTCAGAACATGACAGACGGCCTCCGACTGCGCATAAACATATTTCAGTGATAAGGAGCAGATCTGGGAGATCAGAGGTTTTGAAGTCAATGAAAAGGTTTGGCTTTATTTCAGGACAGGTTGATGTGTTTTTGCAACAAAAACAGCATCAACTGAGATCATTTACTTAATCTATTTTTGTCTCTTTCCCCCACTCCCCGTTCAGTGCAGTTATATGAGTTGGGTGAGCACCTCAGCTCATTATCTTGTGTCATCTGGCCCCTATCAAATTAATGAATACAAGAGGTTTAATCAGAAAATGGGAAAAGGGAGGCATCTAGTCTGGACACTGGCCCGTAATAAGTTGAACAATGTTTTACAGATTTGAAGAGTAATTTTAATTAGATTTCAATTAATTAATTAATTACATATCACAGCTGTAGAGACGGGCACACACATGCACACACACCTTTGTGAGAACATTCATCGGTATAATACATTCCCTAACCCCTTTGTTTAGCCTTAACCATCCCAGCTAAATGCCTATTTTCATCCCTTTACCTAAACTTTATCCGCACCTTAACCTTAAAAGCAAGTCTTTAAACTGCCCCATGAACAGGTGGGAGAAAGCGACTGGCCAAAACCTCCTCACATTCCCAAATTGTCCTCACTCCGAGGGTCTAAAACTCCAACTGGTCCTCATAAAGGTAGACGTAAAGGTACACACACATATGAAACCACAGGCTGGGGATGTCAACGCTTGTTTTCTTGCTGTAGTTGCCTTTCAAGTGTTTTTCATTCCATCGAGAATTCACTTCACCCCGTAAACTATAAATGGGTAGCTCTAACTGAACTTTAAAGCAAAACTTTAAAAGCAAAGCTGTTTTGTAGATTCAGCTGTTGTGAGCTCTACACATTCACGGTGAAGGTATTCTCTTTGGAGTACGAAGACCTCTTACTATCATTTTCAGTGTCGAAGTTGCGCCTGACCTCCTTTTCAAATGCTGCAACCCAGTTAGATTTGAGATTGATTTGGTAAATGGCTCACTTTGCGATGCTCGGATGTTGTTTCTTACAGTAAATGCTGCATGAATTTTGCATTTTTTGCTCTTTGTTTTTTTGCTAAAGACTGTGACTCAGTTTGGTGTCTGAACAGATAAACTGTCCCATCTAGTGGTGAACTGGGATACTAAATGATTCATGAACAAAAAGTCCAGTTTGCTGACTGAAGTAGCCTGATGATGATGATGATGATGATGATGATGTTTCTGAAATACTATTTAAAGGGGACCAAGCACGTCTAAGCTGAGCTCAGGTTCTCTCATCAGAAACATATTGAAGATCCAAACATAGAATCATTTTGCATTAAAATTCTCACTTTTTCTTCCCACCTGTTCAACCGACTCTACCTGTTTACGACATAACACCTTTATTGTGCCATGTATTATTACCCCAGAAGCCCGTGACAGATTTACAGTGTCTGCACGCTGAGTCACCTCAGGCCTCAACACTGTGACACTTTCATACTTCAGGAGTTGTGTCTGTGTCCTCCAAGTCTCATAACTTATTGAGGTTCTATTCATTCGATCCAGTCTAACATCCCCATGATACACTGAGTCAGTGTTTTCAGCAGTACATTTAACTTTACAACAGCAGATATAATGCATGAAAAAATGTCGGGAACGGTGGAATGTTAAATAAGCTGAGTGCCATGTTCAATCATACATACGGTCAATGTGGTTCACAATCCTCACACTGCAGAATTCACTGACGCACTAGGTAGGTTGTACCATGTCAAAAAGATTGCGGTGTAGCCATCAATATTTTCTGCCTCAATGACACCATCTGTTTCTCATTGTGTCGTTGTTATTTATCACGGTAACATCTTAGTTGGATTTTTAGTTTTGCTTGTTTCGGGGAAAACAGGGCAGTGCCAGTCATCCAGATGTTGGCTTCCCATGCTGTTATGCAAGTATTTAATTCCAGGTTCCAGGGAGAAGGGCTTTAATATGGAAACAGCAAAGGTGAGTTAAAATGCAGAAACTGATGTTGAGGGTGTCTGGAGTGCTTCTTCTGCATTTACAAACATTAACATATTGTGCATGTATGAAAGCTCTTGAGCACACGCATCCTGATGAACATACAGCCGATTGTAATCCTAAAGAAAGGTCATGGGAAATGTTCCAGGCAAACACACCTGTGTGATCCTTCAGCTACCCAGATGCACTGACCCTCACTGCCATTGGTCCTTTTCGGTCCCCCCGGAGGCCATGACAAACCAATAGGAGCGTGTGTTGCTGCATTCGGAGCGGGTGTTGCCTCTGGTGGAAAGTTTAAAAGAGAGTGTGTGTCCTGCTGTCCCTCAGCAGAAGCATCAATCAACATGATCCCCATTGTGCTGGCCTCAGTGCTCATTGCTAGCGGTAAGAACATCTGGTATTTTCTAATTCTGTGCATAATTGTTTCTGTGTGTTTGTGTGAGCCAGTGTGTGTGTGAGCCAGTGTGTGTGTAGGTGTGTGTGTGTGTGTGCGTGTGTGTGTGAGCTTGTTTATTACCACACAGGGAGCTAGCTTTCTGCAATGCTTTATTGAAAAGAAAAATGATGCAGAGTGTTTCTATTGTGGGAATCAAATGTAATTTCATTGTTCCCATGTCCGTTCCGCTCACTTCTTTCTCCTCCTCTCGCAGCCCTTGGGTGCGGCAACCCACCTATTTCTCCCTTGACCACCCGTGTGGTCAACGGACAGGATGCCAAGCCCCACAGCTGGCCCTGGCAGGTATGCTAATATGTACACATCTGTCAGTGTTTTTATAGTCACTGGCAATCATTATGGCTCCTACATCTGGTTATTAGATGTCAAAGCCAGCGGTTATTGAAAATCCTGTAATTAAATGATTGTTTGTGTATTAAACCCACAAACTATGCAATCACCTCGATACGCCGATGACCTGTTCCTTACCACATCCTTTTTGTCGTCTCCAGATCTCTCTGCAGTATGAGAGGGACGGTGTGTACAGGCACACTTGTGGGGGATCTCTGATTGCTGCCAACTGGGTCATGACTGCTGCTCACTGCATCAAGTACGGGCAGCAGCAGCATATAAAATCACAAACACAGAAACAGTCACCATCGACAAATTACATAAACACAGATCTCACGCTGGCTGTATTGTGTGTATTTTCAGCTACACTACCTAATTTTGTTCCCTTCTTCTTAAACCTTATTGAAATTATGATTTAGCAAAGTCAATACTCCAGAGGTTTAACAGTAGACTCCTACTCATCTCAACCACTGCTCAGTTTAAATCCCGGTTTTACCACCACCACTGCTAATCATCAATTCAAACCGTCTTCTGTCTGTTTGGTTTTAATCTCAACGTTCTTTTCTCTCCCACAGCGACCAGTTCTCCTACAGGGTGTTTGTGGGAAAACACAACCTGGTTGAGGACGAGTCTACCTCTAAGGCGATCGTGCCTGAGAAGATTATTGTCCATGAGAAATGGAACCCTATCTTTGTGGCCTTCGGGTAACACAACCGCCGCCGTACAGCTGACTCTCCTACGTACAGTACATCATAATCTCATCCGTTCCGTGTCAACATGACAAAGTGGACTGAGGCTCAAATTCCATTTATTCACCCCGGTCCATCTCATATCTTTGACAGAAATTCTTCATCTTCATTCATCTTAAATGTCTACACAGCCCATTAGACGACAAGAGTGAGCCATTCTTAAGCATTCTATTATATTGATCACCATTAAATATGCAGCTGGACGTTTTCCCTGGTGGAAATTTGAAGGAAAAAAAAAAAAAGAAGAATATTACAAATTAAGTAAATCAATTATTCAGGATGCATAGACATGATAACACACAGAAAGAATGCTAAAATACAGATCACTCATTCTCATTATCTCCTCTGCCTGTGTTTCACTCCCATTCTCTCTGGTTGGTTCTGGAGGACGATTTTAAATTGCCTGTCAGCGCGACCACCTCCCTCAGTCCCTCTCTCTCTTTTTTTTTTTTCTCTGTCTTTCTTGCAGTAACGACATTGCCCTGATCAAGCTGTCAGAGTCTGTGACTTTGAGCGACCAGGTGCAGTTGGCATGTCTCCCTCCTGCTGGCACTGTGCTGTCCAACCTTTACCCCTGCTACATCACTGGATGGGGCAGACTGTACAGTAAGTCCCTGTTTGTAGAAGAGCCAGGCTGTGTTTATGTTGCTGTTATGGTTTTTTTTTTTTTCCTTTAGGACGTTCAACTGTTATGCAAGTGTGATGTTTGGATTTGTAACCTGCTGTGTGTGAGGGTTACCCAGGGAAACCTCCGAAGTTGGGATGAAAATCACATGCATGAGATTTTAGCTGAAACTTTTTTTTGGGGGGGAGGATTACTCCTAAATTGAAAATTTGGGTCAGACTGTGAATTTGGCGCTCGGGGAAATGCTGTAAAGCAGCTTTGACAGCCGGCTAGTGTATGTGGATGATGGTAATAGACTCTGCCTGTGTGTTTTAGCCGGAGGCCCCATAGCTGATAAGCTGCAGCAGGCTTTGATGCCTGTGGCTGACCATGCCACCTGCTCCCAGTCTGACTGGTGGGGTATTGCTGTCAGGGACACCATGGTGTGTGCCGGCGGGGATGGAATTGTGGCCGGATGTAACGTAAGTTTGTACTCTGTGTGTGTTTGTGGGTGTGCATGAAGAGAGAGAAAGTTATATTCAATTATGTGTTTTCAGCTTTTTTTTTTTTTTGTCCTCTGAAAATCTCAAACTCTTACAGTTACACTGTAAACCGTACACAAACTGTTTCTGTAATTTTGTTTCAAATTATGCCACTGAAGCAAATTTGAATTTGAATACAATGAGTGCGCTCATATAAAAATGCATTCAAAAAAGAAAGGGGATTTTTTTCCTTCATCAAAGTTATGTGTTTCCTAGCTGCCAAGAAACATGACGAATGTTTCTTGTGTCCCCATTATACTTAGTGAAACAATGATTCTGATTTTCATAGCTGTGCTTTGCCAGATTGCTAGTAGCTTCATAAAATGAATTAAACATAAGCCCTCCTCATCTCTTCTTTCGTCCAGGGTGACTCTGGTGGCCCTCTGAACTGTCAGAACAGCGACGGTGCCTGGGAGGTCCATGGTATTGCCAGCTTTGTCTCTGGCCTTGGCTGCAACTATGTGAAGAAACCCACTGTCTTCACCAGAGTGTCTGCTTTCAATGACTGGATCGACCAGGTAAAGGAAAAACACAGAGAATAGAACGCTGCCTTAATGCCATATCTTGTTGCATTTTTGACGTAATAACCGACTCTTTGTCTTCACAGGTTATGATGAGCAACTAAAGAAGAGGACGTATCAATAAAAAGACTCACTAAACTATAATTATGATATGTGCGTTTCAATGCTCAGCAAATCATTGCAAACTCAGATGTGACAAACCCTCTCTTGTGCCTCATTCAGCCACATCACAGTGACTGGTTCCCCCACCCCCTGAAGGTTTGCCAGAAATTGAAAAAATGTCAACAACTGTCCAGCAGGTGTCCTCATACACTCGTGATAGAAAATTGGTTGTGACAGCTTTTCAAAGCAGGGTACTGTGCACAATTTCCAATGTTCCTGCCTGAACAACAGCTTCAATAAACAGATGTGATTCCCTTCAAATAGCTCACAAATAGCAAGCATGCGAAACAGAACTGCTCAGTGACTTGTCAAGTAACACCAAGTTGCATACTTGATGACAACAGTGAATGTGTGTTTAAAAAAAATAAATAAAAAATGGGAATGTAACAACCCTGCATGAAACTGACCTGGTTTGTCTGGATGTCCTCACAGCAGGAAGTCTTTATGAAAACCCTTGCAGTTCGCTGCAGAAAGACACATTAACACTTCTGTCTTATTTGTAAGTCTGCAGTGAGGGTGAAAGAGCAAGCGGTAAAAAATTAAGAGAAATTAAATTGCCTCTTGCTGCTTCCTTTTCTGTCTTACTCATTCTCCTTCCTCTCTGTCACATTTGCAAGACACACACACTGATAAGTTTTGACAGAGTAATGGAGGCGTGCCAACATCTTCATAGACACGAAACGTAGTGATGAGACACGACATGTCCTGCAAGTGCAAGTAATAATGACTGTGTGTGTATTAAGAGCAGACAGAGGGAGAGGCAGGGAGGTTTTACTGAGTGTCCGTGATTCTTTCGGGCTGTATCCGAGCACATTTCTCTGATGTGATGAATCACACATCTGAGAGAGCTCTCTCTGGAGTATCAGTCAGTGATCCATGATCAGTATCCCATCTAAGCTCCCATGTAGGCTGCAGCACATGTGCTGCTCTAATTGAATCCCATTTTAATGAAAAGTACTGAGCTATGCTTGTCTGCATTTAAAATGATAATGTAACACAGAAGCGACATTGAATAATTGAATTCTGAACACAGTAATTCACCCAAATGTAATAAAATAATGTGGCACAAAATGTAATTAATTGTGTTAATGTGACTGACTATGGCATGACATCATTTCAACTTGTAAAATATAACATTCTAAGAATGTAACTTGTAACACAATAAGATGAATGCAACATAAAATGAATATGTCACAACTGTTAAAAATGAACATATAATAAAGTAACTTGCAGCAGTTTGAGCCTTCATTAATTACATTTTTAGTTCATTTACTTTAGTTCGTTTAATTACATTAGTGAAGTTACTGCATCATCGTGCACTGATTACATTGTCAATCACTATATTCATATTTAACTCAGATGATTCAGGTCTTAAATATTGCTTACATATACGCCAGTGTTCGTAGCATTTTGATTAAATTTGCTGCAGCCCAAATCTATTCTTCCTGCAAAACTTGCTTGAAGTCGGGGGCGGGGGAGAGTGAGGTCTCAAAAGAATGCTTTGTCTCCCTCTGAACTCTGGGTCAGGGCACCCCACTCTCATCACACACACAGACACACAAACACACGTGTTTCAGTCTTTGCGAGGACACAGTTTGCCATGATGCATTCCCTATAGCCCCTTATCCTCGCTTTAGCCGCCGCAGCTAAACATCCAGCCTAATCCAAATTTCAGCCCAAGCCCTGAAACCAAGTCCTAACCCTCAAACAGCCCTTTGAAGGTCTGAAAGGGAAGTCCAGACAAAACTTCCTCCCTTCCACGGTCTAAAACTACAGTCAGTCCTCAGAAAGATAGATGTAAAGTCCACACACACACACACAAACAAAGAGAGGGAGACAGAGAGTTGGAGCAGAGTCCCTCAGGGACACCCTGCTGTTGTCCTGAATACAAATGAGGAAAAGAGGAGGCAACAAGTTTGAAGTTTGAGCAGCTGCTACTCAGCTTTGTGCAACTTGTTTTGGGGGGAAAAAGAAGAGGAAGATGATTGTAATTCCCTGCATCTCTGCCTGCATTATGACCAATAAACTCAGTGCAGTGTATAGTTTTGAAATCAGTGGGTGTTTCTGCATTTAATTTGACTGTAATTACAGATTGTGGAATAAAAAGTTTTATGGACTCGAAAGCCAAGTACTGCATTTTACATTTTATTCTAAAACACGCTCCATATGCGTTATATATATATTATGTATAGAAAGTGAGAAAAAGCTTTTTGTAAAACGCCTGTAGCTGACTCCTAAGTGTCTACACAAGGTTCAAGGAAGAGACACATTATTGTCAGTGTGCATCGGTGCGTCCTGTGTTTGGGGTTTTTGTTGGTTCTTCCAGGCCAAATTCCTTTCAGTGTAATTCGTGTACTTGTGCTGAATGACGTCTTGGCTTTGACCGCGGGATGTTCCCAGAGGTGAGAGGAAAAGCCCTTGATGGGATGTTCCAAGCGCGTCTTTATATATATATATAGAGAGAGAGGGGGAGCAGAGCGAGGCAGGGAGAGAGAGAGGGGGGAGGAGGTGGAGGGAGGAAGGGGGAGAGAAAGGGGGCGGAGGGATGATGAGCAGACACACTGACAGCAGCATCTCCGCTCTGTCGCCCTGCGTCTGTCAGCAGTCACCGGGAACCGGCCGGGACACCGCCAGCTCCACTTGATTATAAAGTCCCAAAGTCCTGCAGACCTGCTGCTGAGCGACTGCCAAACGGTCGGTGAGAGTTCCGTGACCTACTTGGAGGTAAAAGTTTAAAAAAAATAAAATAAAGAGCGCTGCTTATTTGGAAACATCCATCCATTTGCGCGCAACAAGAGGAGTACAACAACAAGAACAGAAAGAAAAAAAAAGTGAGGACGCATGGACACGAGGGACCAGAGGGGAGGATTAGGTAGGTATGAAATGTTTCTGTGCTTTGAGGCCGTTCAGTCACATGAGATGGAGGCCATTCGATCTAATAGTTCACTGCCAGGTGATGCATTATGCACAGTCCCCCGCCTGCTTTCCATGTGGTCGGTGCAGACTTTACTATGTGGCTGGGTTGGTGTCCCTGCCTGCACTGCCTACTTATCCCCTCGTGTAAACAAGCGTGTAGGTGCAAATGGAATTTACATGCATTATTTGCATACACACACACAAAAGGCCTTTATGTCTCACAGTGAAGCCATTCACAAATAGGCACACATCCACGGTGGAGCACATATACTGTGCTTGTATGTGCATGGCTCCACTTTGAGACCTGAAGCTTAACTATTTTCTGCTGCAGCCACAGAGCCATTGCATAACACTGTAGTTATCTTTGTATTGACTGATGCCTAAGGGGGTGTGTGCATGTGGGTTTATGTGGTGGAGTTTGTGTTCTGATCTTTGGACCTTTAAAACTAAATTTCTAACATTTCAGCATCCTTGTATCTGAACTGACCTATTGGCATATGAAGAGAGGAGTGGCAAGTCGGTTGATTGATTGGACAGCTAATATTTTCCCTGTCAATACCTGTGGAGCATTATCAACTTTAACAGGATCATAATACGTAAATAATGATCCTCTTCTCTTTTTCCCAATACAGCACCTTTAAGTACCAAGCCAGTGAAACTTTGCGTTGAAATTTGTGTATCTTCTTTTTTTTTTTTTTCCTCCAACATGGTTACTAAAATCTATTTATCTTGCAAATGTGAAAGAATTATCTCTTTAGTTATTTTAGTTATTATCACACGATTCATTATTATCTACTCTTGGAAATATGAGTCAGGAAAATGTGTTAGAACTGGTGATAATGAATAATCTGGTTATATTCACCAGTGATTGGATGAAATTAACTGAAGCACGCAAACAGTTCTCTGTTCCAATACATCGCTCACACTCATCTGAGCTCTTTCTCTCTCCCTCTCTCTCTCTCTCTGTAGCACACACATGCAAATATTCCCGCTCACATTCCTCTGCCATATCATACCAGACACATTCCTTTTCGCCTTTGCTCTAATTGAAACTCTAAAAAACATTTTGCGTCACTTCTGAGAAAAAGTTAGTCAGGATGTTTTTGGAAGTATTCTGGAGAAACTGTGGTACTAGTTTTATTGAGAGTAATCTGTAGTTGATTATGAGGGTGGTTTTCCCCGCTGCAATGCTACCAGCATCCTGAGAGGGACCCATGTGGCACAAACAAAGACCAACTCTGTTCGTCTGAGCGCAGATCAAATGCATCACTGCCACCGTCTCTAACGTGTAGCTATCCATCTTTGTTTGGCTTGGTCATAAAATTCCTATAAAGGGAAGGATAACTTTGAAATGAGTTCTCAACAACAGGCTTGGACTGTTGCTGTATTGCCCTCAGTCGGGGAGAGGAGGAAATATGTGGTCTCATTAGAAATGCATTAGAGAGTAGGGAGAGAGGTAGAGAAGTGAGGAGATGAGCTCGAGTTTTTATCTGTTAAACTCTGAGAGGGGAAAATATTCACACCCTCCATCTCATGCTTGAACCGGCTTCTCGCTCCCACCTCGCTCCGTCTGTGTGTGTGTGTGTCAGTCTCACGCACACACACCGGTACACCTCAGTGACCCATTTAATATCAGCCACAAAACTGGCAACTATATTCCCACATGTTCCTCCTGAAAACACATTACTGCTAAAACTCATTCAAAATAATTCAGCAAGAAAAAGTGCTTACCGGCACCTTCTTTATCAGTTTAATAACTTCTTCGCTCTCTGCCCGCATAAAGGAAACGAATAAAAAAGGCTGTTGTGACACAAAACTGCAGCAGAAAGACACTTGTCCTGCAGTGCTCTCCTGTTATGCTCAGCTGGCAATGGAATGAATTTCTCACTGCATCTGTCTGAGGCTTTTCTGGTACATTATTAGTACTTAAATATTATAATAATACTCCATTGTGTGGTTTTATTAGAAACCTCCGTATTTGACACTTGGCGCCTCTCAATATAAACGTCTCGAGAACAAAACCTACTCTTGCAGGGCACACATATAGGTCGTCCCATATTTAACACCTGAGGGATAAAGCGCCTTGGCCCAGTGACTAACGTGTCAGCGAGAAAGTAATCTTTGCTGAGCTGACCTCACCAGTGTGTCCATGTGACAGGCAGGTTAACTGTAGCCAAGTATGCCACGGCGTGCATGTGCACCGGCATGTGCCTGAAGAATAAATCGAGCTTGTTCATGTGATGCGTCTTCTTCCTTTTCAGGGAGAATCTGTGGAACTAAAATGACCAACGTGGCGCCAGCAGCGGAGCCAAAGACCCGCCTCTGAAGTCTAGATGTGACCGTCGAGCCGGCCATGGAGAACGATCTGAGGACGGGCCTGTCTGTGTGGGCCATCGTGGCCATTGTTTGTAACTCTGTGGTTGGCATCCTCATCCTCGTCCTCTTCGTCATCCTCTACAAGGCCTGCAAGGTGCCTTCACACCCGGAGAAAATGCCAGTTTTCACAGCGAAACTGGACCAGAAGAACCCTGAAGAGAAGTACATACTCACTGCAGCCTAATCAAGATTTGAAGACATAACCTTGAGATGCAGAGAAAATCCAACTTTGGAAATATAATGGAGTTCATAAGATGAGTTTAAGATAACCAGCTGGGCTTCGGCAGCTCATTCATACAAGTCCCTGTTTTCACTCACTGTCTCCTTTTGGGCTTCGTTCTATTTTCATCTCTCCGCCATCATCCCAATCTCATCTGTGCCATTCAGCAGAGCTCGGAGTAAGCTAACTGCATTAAGAGTTGCAGCAAGACCAACAGCAACAACAAGCAAGCCCAATCCTCTTATCTCTGCTGTGCGTCGCTGGGACTGTCCATCTGTCAGTTAGTTTGGTTCACTCTGCACAGGCCGACCATGATCTCCTCCTCTGCTCCATTCTTTTTCATCCCTCCGTACGAGACAGCTGAGTGGGTATGGAAGGAAAACAGCAGAGGCAACTGGACTGAAGGAGCTAGAGGTCACAAGATTGGTTGAGAGTCACAATAAAAAATAGTTGGAAAAGAGAAAAGATAGCTCGCAAAGCAGTTTGGTTTGGTAATCATGGCAGCAGCGGAGCGGCAAACAAACAAAAGGTAGACTAAAAGCTTAAGCGACGCAGGAAGAAGAGAGAGGTTGTTGCAGGAAGTGTGTGATTCAAGACAGACGGAGATAAAGTTAGGTTTACATTTGGTGGGGATGATAAAGTGCAGGGGATGAATTGGAAAAAGGGGATGCTTTGATGTGTTGTTGACAGAAAAAAGGAGCTGGAGGGTCCTGTCTGACAGTCTCCCCATTCGACACACAAGCCTCTGCTTCCACCGATTCAACTCCCATGGGATTAAAAAGTAACAGCAAAAAAAATGTTAGTCATGTCCCGGTGTGCCTCCCTTTTATCCTGTGAGCTCTTCTAAAGACTGAATAAGGTATTTATAGACAGCCATCATCAGAAACGACTGACTGACAGAACACTCGGTCTCACACATACAGCCGAATCTTGTGTTTATTGTAGTGATGTGCAGCTAGCAGTGTGGTATCAAGATTACGTTCAGGACCGAAGCGAGAAAATATCAAACCCATCATAATTTCATCTCCACATCAGAGTAAAAAATAATGGTCTATTTGTACAGTAAATACTATTTTCATTAATGGAAGGGCTCTACGTGGATTTTTTAATTAAAATTTTGTTTGAGGAACATCTGTTGTAATCTAATCTCAGGTTAACGTGCTTTTTCAATTTGATAAAAATGAGCACATTTTATTTTCCGTGCAGTTCTGCTTAATTTACAGGTTATTTCTGTACAACTTGTGATGATGAGCAGTGATTCATGCGAAAAAGACCGCTTGTTTAATTGATTAATCAGATTAAAAAATGTAAGAAATGTCTGTGAAAGTTTAAAATGCAGTTTCTTGTGTGTGCGGATTTGCTGATGTTCTTTTCAGTTCCATATCACTGTAAACTGTAGAATTCTGTTTTTGTTCAGACTTGAAGGCATAACTTCTGATCTGTTATTATATTTATTTTTCTGGGCAAAATGATTAATATTATATACAGAATATTTAACAGCACTGATCTTGGAAATAATTCTTTGTTGCAGCCCTACACTTGTATGTAATTGCCATTGTGCTCTACGCCTTGTAATGATGGCAGTTTATTTTTTTACCAACAAAATAAAACGATTTACTCTTGTTTATAACTACTGTGGTTCAGTTTGTGTTGCCTTGCCCTCTTGGTGTGCATTACCATTAATGACCCTTCAGATTCTCTACACATTAGAGTCTGAGTTAAAATAACAATTGACTTTAGCCTTCTGCACTGAAGTAATCAATGTGGAACATATTGACCACAACAGTGACCCACATCCTGTTGTTTGTCAACTACAAGCATGTAATCCTTATCTTGGAAACCACAATCCGGCGTCATTATAACGGCTGTATGCGGGCAACGTGTGACTGTAAACTGCTGATAATCTTTGCTTTGAGTGACAATTCACATGATTATGCAGAGTTTCATTCATTTCAGAAATTATTTTTCTCTGTCTCCAGCACGCAAGTGGTGGAACATAATTATGTACCTTTAACAAAGCGCAGTACAAATAGCAAGTGCACTTGTATTTCTGTTTGATAGCATACAAAGTTTTAGAAAAATGTATTTCAGTGCTGTACGTATCCTGCAGATTTTGACTTAGACAAATTCCATGAGAATGTTTTCAAAAACACAATAAATTGTGTTAGATAAAGCTATCCTATCAATGGGGGGGCGCCCCTCACTACTAATGACCAGATAAAAAGTAGTTCTCAAACACAATATTAAAATTGAATTAATTATAACAAAATAGTAATAAAATCAATAATAATGTTCATATTCTTTGTACTATTAACGGATTTAAAAATTAGTCTTTACTAATGTTTACTAATTTTACACTTCCTGGATGTGGGCCGCCGGCCACATGAGCGTGGATGGAGCTGAAACATTTTTTGTGATCATGTGACCTCAGCCCGTGCTCTGATTGGCAGCGGCAGATTTTCTCACGGGGCGCAGCTCGGTGCGTCCCGGACCCGTCCACTTTTGCAGTAAGTCAATTAAATTTGTCTTTATTTCCGTTGGTTTTCTGTGGTTGGACATCAAAGTGGTCCTTTGACATTCTTACGATTGCGCTTTAAATACGTATCTGACACCGTCACACGGCCTTTCCCCTGCTCTTCTACTGGATCACAGCTACTGTCATGACGGCTTAATGCATTGGCCATGCTGCCAATGGAGAAAATGCTGGTCACAGAGATGAGTGACTTCAACCGAAAAGTCATAGAGAAGTTTGCTGAGCAGGAAGAGAGAAGAGCCAAGTTTTTGTTTGAATGGCAGGACTCCAGACTGCGACCAAAGTGGTCGCATTTGCGACCTTTCTTTTGAGAGTGTGTGAATTGATGAGCGTGATGATCATGAAGCTGTATTAGTGTCGCTGTAACCGGCACAGGAAGCTGCTGTGATAACCACAGTGGTGGAAAGTAGTGCTTTTATAACTTCTGTGTACCACAGTGTCTATGCTTAAAAATGAGGTCTTCTCATGAAAAACAGAGAGCGCCTGGATTCGCTGTTTTTTTCGCTCATGGAAAAGACCGCGTGTAGAATACATGTAACTCAGTTTCATCTCGGACACATCTGACATTAGAACACCCTAGTTTATTATTTTTAAAGTCATATTTGGTCACACACCTGTCAGAGCACACGACAGCCACCACCAGCATCTACCACAGCCTGCAATGTGGGGCGTTTAGGGAGCATCAGTAAATCTTTGTGTCTGTTGATAAGAACATGTTCAGCAAGTCATACGTTTTTCCTTTGACCAGGTGGGAGGTGGGACAAAATGAGAAAGTTGGTCGTACTGGTGCTGAGTGAAAGAGTTCATCTGGAGCCCTGAATAATGTTTTTTTTTTTTTTCATTATTTGTGTTGTGTGTTTTGAGTTTGTACAGATCCTGTAAATACTGATGAAAGTTTGATGAATGGTTTTGAAATTTAGGTAAGTCTTAATAATGTTTAATTAGATTATGATTAGAATATCCTCCAAAGGTAGAACATTTGCATTCCTGAAAATAGTTGTGCCTGATGTGATTCATATTCTAATTTAAAACAAGAGGTCATTTGCAGACTGCGGACCCCACCAAAAATTTTCACCAGCCGCCACTGCTATCCAGTCGTATGTTTAAAAAGGAAATCATGAGTAGATCCTCTTTGAGCAGCTACAACATTAGAACAAAGACATCGACGAATATTTAATGCAATGTTTATATAATAATACAATATCATGAGTACTTTTCTATCTTACTATTACTGTAACATTATGAATGCTGACTTTTAGTGGGATATACGTCATTCAGTGTACTTTTACATTTGCAAGTGCCACATCAAAGCAAGACACTGGCTTTTACAGATTTAATTTATTTTGGGGTTGTACACAGAAGGAGTCGTGGATTTACCAGAGATCTTGTGAGATTGCATAAAGAACAGCGTCGTATTTATTTTTGTGGAGCTATAGCAGCTGTATGTTCAAGGAGTGTGTGTCTGAGAAACAAAGAGCATGAATACATGTATGCACATGTGTAAAACAGGAGTTTACGGCACATATGAGACAGATGGTTTGAGCCTTTAGTGGGCTGTTGATTTGAAACTGCTCATCAGAAAGGCGGCTCTACAGCTGTCTAGTGTTTATCTACTTCACTTCTATTCATCTGCCTGCCAGTTTCCCTCTCTCTTGTCTCCGTGTCTTTGGCTGTCTTTCTCTTATTTGTTTCTCTATTCCCATGTAACGAGGCCAGTGCCAGACTCGTGCGAACTGGCCAGCACTGACCCAGTGATCTACTCCACCGGGAGCTGTTTGGGTGAGAAGGTCAGCGCATTCTGACTCACGCCGAGCATGAACCACCCCGGTTTTTAAACCGGAGTTTAAGACCTCTGGAGGAGTTAATTGATCCTGTGTATCACCAACCAATAGAAACATTCAATAAGCATCCACGCAGTCATCCATCTTCAGTCTCTCGACCATCACGCCTGCATTGATCCCTCCGTCTCAGGTTTGATGTTTAGTGCTAGTTCATCCAGTTGAGATTAGACATAGCCGCTGAACTCCGCATCCGCAACTCCATCTCTCCGTCTCAGGGAACACATTACACAGCAACAAAGCAATTTCCCCTTTTCTTCCAGTGCTAGTTGAGATGGAAGAGGGTCACTGAACTCATTGTGGTGTTATATAATGATCGGGACGAATATTACAGACAGAGAGATTACTAATAAACGTACGAGGGGCCAGTAATCTGCAACTCCATCTGCACCGCTGGAGGGGTTGCATAACCCACATCAGGCCACACTGAGTCATTGGCAGTGTGTGTGTGTGTGTGTGTGTGTGTGTGTGTGTGTGTGTACGAGGTAACACAATCATTTATGGATCAAATGTTAATATATGTTTTGGACACTGCAAGCCCAAAAATGTGTGGGACTTCTGAAAAATTTGAATCTTATGTAATCTATAATTTAATCTAGTGGCTCCAAATAAAGCCTTTCAAGTGTGTTTGTGTGAGCGTGTGCAAAACAGAGACATCTATATGCACGTCTGTCTTTTTTTCTTTTTTTTTTTTAAAGCTGTCTGTCCTTGAATTTATGCAGTACACTGAGCAGTGCTGCACAGGTATCTGGGTGTGTGTTGCTGTCTTACTGCCCTTGTGTATGAATAATTAATAACAAAATTCTAATCACACCTAATCAGATCTTCATAACAGGACCCCAACAGAGTCATAAACACCTGTCACAATTAGATGCAAGCAGACACACAGGCATTTGATTCTGTCAATAGTGCAGCTCTGATGCTGAAATCATTGAAATTCAGCACAATTTAGTCAGTAGGAATGTTTAGTCTGTCAACAGAGGTCTAATTATAGCATGAAACAAGCTGAAGTAATGCTTGTGATAGGAAAAGCATCGCTAAGCAAGACGTGGCAAAGACGAGGCAACATGCTGAGTGCATGTGAGCTACGAGGGGATCAGGGGAGCAAGACTATAAAAACCAAATCGTCCTTTTTTAATTCACAGTTTTCATCATTTCACAAAATTGAGGTCCCTCAACAAGTTAGCAACCAATCACATTTGTCAGACATAGAAAGGTAGACAAATAAGCAGATAAACTGGTCATATCAAACACATATACGTACGTGTGGACCTCAAATCGCTTGGATTTAGCAGAATAAAACCACTACGACCTAACTGACCCTGCGCACATCTCATTGCCATTCATCCTCCATGCAGCCTGGGTTCTCCGTCTTCTGCAGAGCTAGACTGCCACCTTCTGGCCCAAACATTAATATTTGTCTTCCTCAAATTGTAACTGCGGGGGGTTTGGCTGCAGCAGAGGCTTACTGCTGCCAAAACCCTTCTCCAGAACTGTACAGTAGCGCATACTGCTGCTGCTCTCTGCTGGTATGTCCAGGTAAGGACAATGTGCACTCAGGCGTGTCAGTGGCTTCAGTGAGATTCAAGGATTTCTGGCAGGCCATCGTTAGCCAGAGGTTATTTTTTTGGGGGGGTGAGAATTTATAATTAATGTCCTCCATGATGGTCATTTCATCGTTTCATTCAGTGTATTTAAAGTTGCATGATGTGAGCAAATGTTCATTTTTCTTGCCAAAACGTATAGTCCTCCACCAATAGTTAGAGGCATTCTAAGCACTATGACTGTAATTTAAAATAGAAGGCGTAATTAGTTTTATAATTAATTTACAGACCTACAGTTAAGAGGGTAATTGTTACCTGAGGTGGAAAGCCTCCAAGGACATACTGGGAACGGACAGAAGTTTGAAAATGATGTTTTTTTGATGACAGAGCACCAAATTAAGTGCGTTTTAATTTTTCATGCCGCAGTTGCTGCAGTTCAGTGATGGAAGACACATTCAGATCAGTTACTTATGCAAAAGTATTATGGCAGTGTAGAAATTAGAGATCATTAAAAGTCAAAGTCTTGAATTCTGAATCTTAAGTAAAATTCCTGATGTGTTTTTGGTCGAATGTAAAATGTCCAAAGTAGTTCTCATTATGCAGCCGTCCCTGTCAAGATAACTCGTCAGGATCAAATATAAGCCAGTTATTAGGCTTGTTATCTAGTTCAGCTACTAATGATTAACAAGCAGATTTTTTTAAGCAGCATAAAATC